CCGATCGTGATAACAGACTCCTTATTGGTTGTGCTAAAGCCAACTCATGTACTCCTGCCCCACAACTTAGACACCACTGGTGTCAAGGTGGTCATGTTAGTGTTCGAACATAGGTCCGTCGACTTCATAGAGGCTACCTAAGAGCACGTCGTGTTGTCAAGAGACCTGCCCTAACAGCCAGGCACCGTACAATCAGGTTTCAAAGGGCTAAGGACCATCGACGCTGGAACATGAGAAGCAGGCAAAATATTCATTGGTCAAATGAGAGTCAGTTTCTGTTACGACCAATAGACGGCAGAATACGAGTTTGTCGTGGAAATAAAACTGCTAATGACCAAAACAACATTTACCCAACGACTGCATACGTTGCTGGTGGTGTTACAGTATGGAGTTTCTTCTCATACTGTTGTAAGGTGGGTATGCATATTCTGCAGAGTAACATGAACGGACAGACATACAGGGAATTGGTGCTTAGAAACATTGTAGTCCCTCATTTTGATAATCCTCTACTTGCTTCAAGACCCTTGTGCATGTACGACAATGCTAGACCACACAGGGCAAGGATTGTAACCGAGTACAAAGAGTACAAAGAGCAAGAAGCCATTGACACTATCTTTTGGCCTTCCATGTCTCCAGACATGAACCCTATCGAACATGTCTGGGATGCCATTTGCAGAAATCTCAATCGCAGAGATCCACCTTTGCAAAATCTTCGCGATTTAAGAAGCGCAATTGTTGCTGAATGGAATAAATTTACTCAACTAAAGTTCAGAAGGCTTGTACAAAGTATGAGACTCCGTGTTACTGAACTGTACCGGAAGAGAGGGTGTTACACATCCTATTGACTCAAATATTGACATTAAATTTGCCGAACATACCAAAGATTATTTGGAGAGACTTTTAATGATATTAGGTGATTAATTGTTGTAAAAAAATAAAATCACAATGAAACTTAAATTCCGTTTCTGATTTGTGTAATTTTCACTATTTCTATAAACGCAAATTTCAAATGCATAGAACCTGCATACGTGAACAAACTACGGTTTGTTTATGGTATATGTTAGAAAAATTGCTACATGAATATTTTCTTTTTTTTCGAGGATTAACTGATTTTTTTAAATGAAAAAAAATGTCGATGCAATAAAGATAGGTGGTGCTTAACTTTTGGCGGAATGTATATATGGATACCAAGAAGTTTTTCTACTTCCACATTGTCAAATGAAGTCTGATTTTGCGATAATACACACAAGACATCATTACAATTCTCAAGTTTTCTCTCAGATCCCATAAGCATACATTTGGACTTCTTGTTATTTATTATCATATTGTTTTCAGCACACCATTCAATTACGTTTTCAAAGTCTTTATTTAAACAAGAGTTTAAGTTTGAAATAGATTTAGACGATATATGCAAAGTTGTGTCATCAGCATATAATTCAGACTCTGTGTGTTTTAATGTAAACGGGAGATCATTTATATAGATTAAGAATAATAAAGGTCCAAATATGGAACCTTGTGGGACCCCAAATGTTACATTATTGTATTCTGATTCAGTTGTTCCAATTTTAACCTTTTGCAATCTATTTGAAAGGTAGGACGAAAACCACTTAACAGAGTGATCATCACATCCATATAAATTAAGTTTCGATAATTAGATGTTATGGTTACCAGTATCAAATGCTTTTTTTAAATCTAGAAATAAAACAGCAGTGAAATTGCCTTTGTCAAATTCTTCTAACCATTTGTCAATTATTTTGATAAGTGCTGTGTGGCATGAGTGTTTTTCTCTAAATCCAGATTGTTGTTGTACTAGTAGTTTGTATTTAGTTAAAAATGAATATAATTGTTTAAACACAGTCCTCTCAAAAATCTTGGACACTGTAGGTAAAATTGAGATAGGACGACAATTGTTAGGATCATCCTAATTACCGGCTTTGAAAATTGGAGTTAATTTTGCATACTTTAGAATATCAGGAAATATACATGTACATAAACTAAGGTTTATAATATGAGTGACAGAATCTACAATTATTGATTTTGATACTTTTTAATATTCTTGGGCCAACTCCATCGGTCCCGGTTGATTTATTAATATCTAGATTTGTGAGATATTTAGACATCACCATTTGAGACAGTATACAGTGAAAACAACGTGTTATCATTAATTTTGGATTTCACATAATTGTTTATTTTCTCTGTTTCAAAGTTAGAATGGGGATGTGGAAGAAGTTTTTCTCCCACTGAACTAAAGTGATCATTTAAGTAGTTTACAATGTCAATTTTATCCGTGAGATTCTTATCTTCGTATGTTATCATATCAATATCATGATTCGTTGTAGAGTTAAGATCTTTTAAATGTCTCCATAGAGTTTTACAGTTTTTATCATTATTGATGGCATCCATAAAATACTTAGATTTTGAAGAACGAATCAGTTTATTTGTTAGGTTCCGATATTTCTTATAATTATCCGTATCTTTCTTTTTATGATAATAATCTCTCTGGTAAGCTGATTTGCATATTTCATCTGTATACCACTCTGGTTGATATTTATTTTTTATCCGTTTGGTTACAACAGGAGCATGTTTATCTAAAACATTAACAATAAGATAATACCACATATCAATTGCTTCATTTGGGTCACTTATTTCATGTATAACATTAAATGGTTGTTTAGACAAATCATTTAAGAACAATTCTTGTGTAAGATGTATGTGTGGAAACTCATTTAATGGAATAAAAATATATAAAAATAAGAAGATATATGTTTACTTCTACAATTAAAGTGTAGTTTGTTTCATTTGATTCTAATATTCATATGAATTAAATAATGTGCTAATCAAAACATTAACGTCACTTTATCATGTACCGAATATTATTAGTTAATCACTTTGGTATATCATTCAGGTGCTGGAAATGTGTATGACCTCTACACTGGCGACAGTGTTTTGAATGCTGACAACGCACAAGCACAGTCTTTAACGCAACCAATCCAAGAACATTTCAAATCAGATATTGTTAATAAATGGACATCAGTTGGAATTGTTCAGGTATATGTTGGCAGGATTACACATATGAAATTAAACTCAATGTATCATTTAACACGCTTTATCTGAAAAAATGAATTCAAATAAAAAAGTATGTGCACATCAATGAGGTATTGTCTTTGTAAACAATGTTACTAAATATACAGATGTTTCTCGCAAACTATTTTATTTCTTAGAAAACAAATCATATTATGGAATCATGTATGCCTGAAAACTGAAATGTCCGTTATATTTTGATATTTTAGTTCTTTTCTATATACACTAACGAACGAGAATAAAAACAGGAGAAATTCAATAACAAATATTCAAATATAAAATCAATTTGTGTCCGAGAGAAATGAGGTCTTTAAACATACCTATTACTATACAACAAAACCATACAGATATGTTGGTTTTGTCTTTTTTTATATTAAAATTGTACATTTAAAATCACACGAACTTGATAAGTCCGTACAAATCTATAGGCGAAAGCACGTGCTTTTGAAGTGTAAACTATATATAGATATAAGAAGATATGGTATTCTACCGTTGATATATTCTTGCAATTAAGATATAACATTCTTTAAGTGGTGCATGGTCGATTGCAAAAGATGAAATTTTGGTCTATGTGCTAATTTTCTAGCCAGAAATAAAGAACACAGTTTTTAATGGTGGATTGAAATTTCTTTTTTTTTGTCTAGGTACAGCGTCATGTACATTGTGTATTCGTAATGCATCATTGTCATTTACAATTTTATTGATTATAGAAAAAGGTCTTCAATTGCATCGAACTGAATACCCCATAGCAAACTTTTACATGCTTGAATATACATGTTCGTTTTTCATGACAAAATCTTTCAAATTCACATAACGTTAGTGATTTTCCCATATAGATATATATATATTGCATGATTTAAATTTTTTTCAAAAAAAAAATCAAAAAGAGAGTGAAAAAAATATAGTTTGTTTTTTCTGAAAAGTATTTAAAAAGATTAAAATATTGAAATTTAAATTAATTTATTGTGCCTGTATATAATTGAACCTACTGTTTCTCAAACTTATACCTCCATGGATGGCAGGTGCCTTATATTATTAGTTACACAGTTTGATAGTGACCTAATATGATATATACAGGGTCAGTAAATTCCATATGGTGCGAGAGCAAGCGATCAATACGAGTCATTAAAGCAATAGTTGGTGGCTGGGGTCTAGTGGACTATTACAACGATCAAGTATTCAATATCAAGAACCTATTTGCACTCATGTATACAAATATAAATGCCAACAATAACAATATATCTATATATCGCATATATGCCCGGGCTTTTTAAAGATTCTGAGATCAATTACCGATAATTCTTAGAACTATTGATAGAACAACAAATATAGTAATGATAATTGAAGGCTATTATATGTGAAGTCAGTATAGCGAATAAAAATAATCATTCTAATATGACGTGCTTCTTTCGCTTTGTAAACAACACCGTGATAAAATTCTCGATATATCTATACTTAGCGCAGACTCAGAGATGTGCATATTGGTGGCTGTTACTATTTACCTCCCACGTAAATCCACATGTATCGTCACCTATGCACAAACACCATGTCGATTTCGTTGTGTTTAAATTGAAATTGAAAAAGAAACTACACAACCGTTATTCCTATTATATTGCATAACAAAAATAATTAATGCACAAGAGCTTAAAAAATGTATAAAATCAAAATAAAATAAAATTCCGCCAAATTTCATGAATGATCTTGGCGCATTAACGTCATGTCATAACATGACGACATACGAATGAAAACTCTAAAGCTGAATGTTTTCCGTTACGTATACTCCCTAAGTTCGGATAATATTGCATTAAAATGGAGTTTTGAGGTAGGTATTGTTTCATTTTCTATTCCATTGCATTATTCGCACATTTGTGGATTTCAGCAAGTCAACATGGCGGCTCACTCCCGGCCTTAGTTAAGACATGTCAACTCTGGATTTGACAGTAAATAGTAGCCAACGAAAAATAAATGTTTGGGTTAAGAATTATGAGAATTGAACACATTTTTTCTACTGCTTATTTGAGAAATAATTCATGTAAGACTTAGATTTATATGAAATTTGTAGCTTTTCTCTTACAGGGGATAAAATAGAACAGCCATACACACGGCAATCTTACGTTCGCTTCAGTTTTTAAATTACCGTATTTGTCCTATTAGAATCGAAATAATTCATGGAAGCCATAGATTTGTTGGACATTTACACACGGCCTGGGCCGTGATATTTGTTAATTTTATCCCTCGCTAACGCTCAGGATAAAATTCGAATATCACGGCCCAGGCCATGTGTAAATGTCCAACAAATCTATGGCTTCCATGAATTATTTCTTAAGTCACGTCTTGTTTGTTCAAGATGAGATGAAATCAACAACGTTGTAAATAAGGCAGTGTTATGCTGGCTTTCTGAATTAGTTGAGCTTTGTCTGACGATGCGACAGTTCACTAGATAGAAACAACTAACCTAATGTATCTCAAACATTCTCTACATTCAGTCTAAATATAAATTTTCATCAATCATATCAATTTGCATTATTCGATTATTCATTTATATATATATATATATATTGCAAAAAGGTTCGATTGGCCATCCACAAAAATGGAACAGAGGTTGCATTTTTTCTATTTGACGGAAAAGAGAGTAACAAGACTGACTGGTTTCTCAAGGAACGGTTACAAAATTCAAGCTATACAGATTTGCAGAATTCAACAAGCAACATACCAACAAATGTCTTCTCCATTTATGGGTAAGTCAATGTATTGTAAAAACACGACCCTATGAATGTTTCATGTTTACATCTCAGTGGAATTTCACGTGGATAAATATCAAGATTAATAAAAGACAAAAGAAGCTTCTTCACACATGTGACAGAGCTGTCAAGTCACAACTGGAGATTTGAAAATTTGAAAGTTTGGCATCATAACTGGAGATTTTTTATCGACATATTTATCGTCGTTTTCAGTGTTCATTTTGATGATAAAGCTACATATTTCCCCTTTTTTGTAATTTTTTTGTAATAACAGTATTACAGTTGCAGGGGAGGTAATGACGTTGCTAACGTAAAATGTTATTTTGGCGACGTCAAACTGTGACAAATCGGGAAAAGATGTATTTTTCGACTGATTTTTATCATTCAAACTGATTTAACTTGAAAACGAGTTCATGAACCCCTCTTTTTTAAAATGACATTCGGTTTGATTACGTATGAAGATTATTTGCACCAATTTTCATGAAAAAGTCAATAATGCATTTTTTAAATTTGATAAATATACAGCAAAAAATGACGTTTTTTTCTACATTCATGAACATTTGATGAATTTGAGTTATTTCTAAACAAAAGATTTCATAAATTTATAGGATACTTATATAAAACCGAAATTACAAATAATTTAACAAAAAAACAGCTTGTGTTTATCTTTTAAAACAAAAAAGTTATGTATTTCTGTCGGAAGGAAAAATACGTCCACAAATCCGAATTTTGAGCAAATATCTGAAATTTCGAACTCATTTTACTCAAAAAGTAGCACATGAAGGTATATTTTTTATTACATATTTGATTTAATCAGGTAAAAAATAGCCTTTTTGCAAATTTTCATCAAATTTTCATTCTGGGATAAAAACTGTATCGTATGCCCTTAAATAGTCTTAAAAGAGTTATGAACATCAATCATTTTTCGATTCAAAAATTAATAGTGATATTTGTAAAATGTCTAAATTATAATTGGTTCGCATTTTAAAACTGAAACGGAGACTGAAGGTTAGTGTTCTGTTTTTAACTTTTTTGAGTAAACGATCATATATTTTCATTTAACTTGTGAAATTTACCAAGGTCCGTCATTTGGTCTAATATTGACAGATTTCCAAGATATCTACTTATTGAGAACTCTAAATATTGAATCGTAAATTTCATCGATATCTGCGGATGCAAATGAAAACGAATCCAAATAGTAATGTTTCATAAGTAAATCCAAGTCTTAATGTGTCTCCTTTAATGTATTCAAATATCTCTTTGGTAGTCAGTTTTAGAGTGAATGGGGTGATTAAAAATCCTGTGGTAATGTCATGATCACTCGTTTTTCTATCAACTTTGATGACATCTGCTAAAGCCGTTTCATTTGCATAAGATATAGATCATATTATGCCTATTGATGTATAAGTTCATTAAATCAGTTTCTCATATCAAAAGCGTTCATAATCTCATTCAATATTTGACGAATTTATATGAAAAGATCAACATATAAATTATTCGTTATCATTATTTAGGCAGACGATTCAAATGATTATCTAACTGATCCATGAACATTTCCCAGAGGGGATTTGTTGCACTACGTAATCCCTGAATTGCACTGACAAATATTTAATACCTAGGAAAGTTTAAGTCTAACCATATCATTTCACCATTATTAAATTCTAAGTAAAAACATTCGTATGCAAGTAATCATCTGCAACATATACCATAACAATGTCAACCTGGCGCAATTTCTGTCGTTCCAGATTGGCTCTAAATGATAATCCGGAATGCATATTCGTTATAGAGAGTACTGTTGTCTAAATTGAGTTTATATCATGCAAATAATTGAAGAATTCATTAGAAAAAGATTTGAAAGTAATCAATTCGTATTTAGATGAAAAAATAAAAACAAATAAACTACACAACATTTTACGTACGACAAAAAATACGTTGAAGTTTATATTACTTTTCTAAATTTCAATTTCGGGCTAAAGGTTACGTTAATTGTGAAGTAACGCTTGAATAAAAAAACTGTTTTGCAAAGTATTTGTTGTTGGTGGTGTGATTGTATTGAGTCTTCTTAATTTACACGAATAGATATTTCCAATATAGTCAGTGAAATTTATTGAACCATTGCGCATGTCTTTCATTTCTGTATATAAATATTATTATTTGTTACTAGGTAAATTACAATGACACATGTACAGCTAGATTGCTACTTATATTGAAATGATAATTTTTGTGAAAAACAAATGTCATAAGGAAAAAGTTGTATCTATCAAACATGTCAAAATGGTAATAATGTCTGTTATAACAATCGACTCTTGGTCGGCTATGAACAAAACAGATTTAAAAAGAAGCTAGTGGCATTGTATTTCAATAATGTAACCAAAATATCATGTATTATTTGTCTCTTCGTTGGTTCATATTATTACGATTGCCTCCTCATTCTGTCATTAGATGTTTTGTATGGAAATGTCGTCATTTGATATTATAATACTTTATTTTGAATTGCACTATTCACATTTTTGTATATGTAAGTGCATGATATTTTTTTTTTATACAGAATTCAAGGATTTCTGAACATTTATAGGAGTTTTTACATAAACTCGGTTTGGGGTGGATGTGAAAGTGATGCAGGCTGGCTGATAGTTTACGACACACACAATCTCGGCGGATGCCGTTGGGAAGGGTATTACCTTTCAGATAAGCCAGCAATTTTGTATAGTCCCATTTCAACTAGAGTGCGTTTTTCACAGAGTAAGTTTTTTTTTACCATAATGCATAAAGTGTTATTAAGATAAAGTATTTCGATTGATAAATAAGTAAGTATAAATAGGAAGATGTGGTATGAGTGCCAATGAGACAACTCTCCAACCAAGTCACAATGTGTAAAAAGTAAACAATTATAGGTCAAAGTACGGCCTTCAACACGGAGCCTTGGCTCACACCGAACATCAAGCTATAAAGGGCCCCAAAATGACTAGTGCAAAACAATTCCAACAGGAAAACCAACGGTGCCTGGCACTATTCTAACGTCAACATATGACTGCAATGAATTTAAAAAGATAATGATAGAAATGATAATTCACCGTATCAGAATCTCAGTGATGCATTCTGGGTAATATTTTCAAACGTGTACACCAAAACGTTGTGATTGGTTAAAAGCGTCCTAAGCAATGGAAATACAACCAATGACGTGACGTCATTTTCATTTTGGGGTACGAACTATTGAATTACCCATAGTCCTTTAGTTTCTGAAACGGCCAATTCTAATATCTTCATATTGTGTTTTACAAGTACTTTTGAAATTCCAAATCTATTTGCTACATCCTTTTATGAAAGATAAAAAGAGTTACTTTAAGTCAATCGTTGTCTAACCAGTGTTGTTTTCTTATTTTGTTCCCCTGTGTTTGCACAAATATCGCTTTTGATTTAATCACAACTGTTTGTTTTTAACGGCTGTCAAACACTCTTCACAAACTAATATATTAAACATAAAATAACTGAAAGATGTATTTATTCCATTTGCATTTTCGTGATATTTTCTTGTAAGTGACAAAAAAATCAAACAATAAAACACTCAGTTTTAACAATCAAACTTTTTAAAAGAAAGAATGTGCATTTTTGTTACTATTTACAACTGTACCTGTAACAAGACTTGGTTTGCTGAAATCAAACAAAAAGTTATTTCCTCGACTAACAATAGCATTGTGACAAATAATTCAACACTGATAGCTGACTGTTCCATTTCGGCATTAATTTTAAATTCAGGATACAACTGTTTTTGACAGGATACACACACATTGTGATATCTATAAAGCCTGCAGTAGCAAATTCGTTTTAAAGTTTCGTACATACGACTAAAAATGAACAAATCAAGTGTGTAATAATTCAATTATTCAAACGATTTATGTTAAGTCTTATTTCGTGCCAACGATAACGTGTATTCAAGCGTTTCGTGACGTCACGAGTAGGAATCCCTACGCAGGCGAAATACTTTTGTAACTTAGGGTGCATAATTATAATATTTGTGCATAATTTGTAGTCATAAAAATATTTTACGTAGATTCCTGATGAGTAAACGCAACCGACTCATTTATAGATTTCGGGCATTATTCAGCCTGTCCATACATCATTAATACATGATAGATATTTATTATTTGATTAAAATATAACAAGAACCACCTGTCAACTTAATCGTTTTTATCATTTGCATGTAAGTAGAATTATGTCAAACAGTATTTTTTTATGAAGTGAAAAAGCTACTCCTGACACTATTTTAAGTTATCATTTTATTCTATATTGCACAGTTTATAAAGAACTTATTGCTGACAGCATGTCAATTTCAGTAAAATGTAAGTAAAGCAACATATGTGATTAATCTCTTGTGTGTTATCATTAGAAAAAAAACTAAAAGTAGTGTTGCTTATAATCAAGCCGATTTGATAGATATAGAAATACCCTTTAGTTTTACCTGGGAGAAAGTCACGAAGGCGAAACATAATAATCATAATTACACCTTGTGTAAGAATGCTGGGTTTTGATTGGTTGGTAGCCAGTGTATTTTTCACCAATTTACTTTTATCAAATGAATATCGTTCATTTTTAAACAGCGCCGGGGTATATGCAAAAAGGATATGCCTTTTTTACCCTCTCTGCCGTGGTATTTGCCAAAAAATACTCTATCCGACTGGACGCTTGTAATTTAATGATCATCAATGCGTTTTATGTCACGATCATTAATGCGTTTTGTACGTTAACATTCGGTGTAATTAAACAGATATAGCATGTTCTTGAGGGGTATTTGCGAAAAATACCAGTCTTGAGAATGAATTTCCCTCGCCTTACGGCTCGCGAAATTTAACATTCTCTCCACTGGTATTTTTCGCAAATATCCCTCCTTAACATGATATATCTGTTCAAAATTCGGTTGGGTTAAACTGTTGAATTGTTTTATTTTTCATTTTCCATTTTTTTCTTATTAAATGGACTAATGTTTGGATTGCAGTTAACATAAGATATAGTAGTGGGTTAACATATCAATACCTTAGTCAAACCTTCATAGAATCTCACTAAACTTTGACAGAAGCTTATTTGTTATTAGGAGATAGCAACTGTAGTGAACAATTGAATACATAATGGACTTGGCCATTTTAATTGATACTTTATAGTGTGTCTTTCTATGTTGTAATGTTACACTACTGTTGCAAGTTAGGGTGAAGGTTGTCGCCGGTTAAAACGTTTAAACCCTCTGCATTTGTTTGCACCTGTCCTAAGTCAGGAGACTGTTGTTCAGTGGTTTTGTTTGTTGATGTGGTTCATAAACGTTTCTCGTTCTCGTTTTTTATATAGATTAGACCGTTGGTTTTCCTGTTTGAATTGTTTTAGACTAGCCATTTTGGGTTCCCTTTATAGCTTAATGTTCGGCGTGAGCCAAGGCTCCGTGTTGAAGGCAGTACTTTGACGACCTATAATTGTAATTTTTACACATTATGACTTGGATGGAGAGTAGTCTCATTGGCACTCATAAAACATCTTCTTATTTCTATTAGGAATCTTTTCCTTTAACTGAGAAATGTCAAATTAATTTTCCTTTTTATTTTTCATTTTCTGTATTTTGGTAAAATTTAAACATTGGCCCTGAGGTTTTTTTTGGCAGTCAACATGTAGTTTCAGGCTGTAGTTTAAGCTTGTTAAATTTACATAACGTGGTCAAAGTTCCTTCTACAAATTTCATATTCGTAATGGCAATGCACGAAAAGATAGTATTCTGTACAAAATATGGATTTTTTTTTAAATTTCACTATTTAATTGATAACTGGATTTGGGTTTTTTTATGCTATCGAAATTACACCTTTAAGCTTATATGCAACTGTTTAGGTTATTATACATTCTTAGTTTTCAAATATTCGGCTTTGAGTGTTTATGATGAAAGTAAATCAAGAAAAGCGCTTCGGACGCATTTTTTTTTTTATATATCTAGACACGGGGTAAGTCAGAATCCTTCACAAATGTTTAATTATCACTACGTCTACATAACACAGTAAATACTTTTAAACTAATACATTGTTATAAATAAATCCGGAATGAATTTTGGATTAAATAACGATGTAAAGTTTAGTTCCCAAAATGTTATTTTTTGTGTTTCATTTTCGTTTAACCAACATCTTAAGAAAATCACAAGCTTAAACCTGAAAGTCAATACCAACATTTTAAAAATTATTTGAAGTTAAGGAATATATCTCTCTCGTGCAAAGCTTTGATTCCTCCTTACCCAGCTTTAGCTTTACATTTTGTCCTTTATGGTGTATAAGCTTTTAATCTTCTTATTAAGTTTGTAATTTCAAACGTTTTGCGCATTCGATACCATTAATATTATTGTATTAACAAATGAAGTTGATAGTATTACGAGTAATGTTGTTTTGAAATTTTCCTTTGAGTGACCTCCATATATTGTAATCAGGGAAACAAGTTGTTCTTACCTCGCCAAGGTTGATGTTTTAGCTCTGCCATACTTACAAACTGTATATCTTGCCTTTGTGTATTGTTTATATCTGTCTGTTAGTTGTCTGCACATATGAATCGATGTATATTAACCGTGGAATAAAGAAATAAAATGCGCTATAGTGATTTTGCCGGTCTTTGGTGACCACTGTCTTTTTTTTTACCTATGTCTATACGTTTGTTCAGATGTTGAAAAATATTCCTTTGACAAACATGACTATTTTACCTAGTTACAAAGTATTTTGGCTCGCATAATTGTTTACACTATATTAGAATATTAATGAAAAGCAATAATAATTTATTATTTTCATTTTTAGTTGACCAAGAGAATCTTATATGCCATTCCAGTTGTTTAAAACCAATCCAGCTCGATGCGGTCACGCATTGTTACAAACCATGCGATACGGTTATCGATGTTACAGCAAAGGTTCGACAGTTAAGAGAAGACTTAACGATCAACAGGAAAAATACAACCTGTAAGAATCAGTTTTGATAATAGTATATTATGAAAAGATAAAATATATGAATATATATGCCTTGAAACTTTGAATCATACACGTTAGAATATAAATATTTGTCTAATACCCCGTTCACACTATGCCTTTTCAAACCGGGTTCGACCCGAATTAGTTAATCCGGGTTAAATTTAGGTAGTGTGAACGCCTTAACCCGGGGCGAACCCGAATTAAAATTACCCCTCATTTTAGGTGGAGTTAATGTTGGGCGAACCCGGGTTAATTACCTCGCCTTCTAAATGTGAACGTAATTTGGAGTTAATGTGAGATTGTTGCTATGGTGACACCTGACGTTTGCTTTAAAAGTAGGTATTCAATGTAACGTCACATATTTTATGAAAAAGTCACCAATGAAATATTGTTAAATTAGATAAATATACAGCAAAAAATTACGTTTTTTTCTAAAATCATGAAACTTTGAAAAAAATTTATTATTTTCAAAGAATTGTTATACAAATTTAGAGCATACTTATGTAAAGAAGATGAACCAAAAAGTTAGGTATGTCCATCCAAAGGATAGAAATGTAAAAAAAAAAAAACGAAATTTTGAGTAAATGTCTAAAAGTTCTACCCCATTTATCTCTTAAAGTAGCACATGAAGGTATATTTTTTATTACATATTTGAATTGACTAGGTGAAAATTAACTCGTATGCAAAACTTTGTAAAAAAATCACCGTGGGATCAAAACTGTATCGTATGCCCTTAAGAAACTTCAGAAACCTATAAGATTTTCGTCGCTTTCTTGGGGCGATAAAGTGACGTTATTTGAATACACGGAAAGTGGTTGATGTGGAATTCCTTCAAAGCGGTCGATCAGGAGTGCGGTTAAGAATTTCAAACTTTTGAAATAAGGCAACTGTAATGAAAAAAAAAGTAAATATGTATAGTGGACATGTACGGGTCAAAATTTTGGCGCTTATATTTCTATTTTTGTTGAGAGGGGAAATCATAAACTGGGTTAATTTTTTATTAAGTGTGAACTAGGGTAATTAATTCGGATTAATTAACCCGGGTTCGACCCGGAGCAGATTGCATAGTGTGAACACGGTATTAGTTGTCACTTTTATTTAGTAATGCAAACACTATTTAGCGATAACTAAATCACTGTTTTTTTTAGGCAAGAGCCTGTTTTGGTATGCAATATCTTGTTTGAAGTAACATTCAGAATAATATTTTCAACTATTATTGTTACCATATGTTACGGAGTGTTTAATCCAAGATTTTGTTTGCAAAAAAAAAAAAAAAAAACAAAACAAAACAAACAAACATCAATACAATTTGAAGCGACAACAAAACTGCATGCAAAACATGACAAGTCTGTATGAAAATGAGTATTGGATATTTATCATGCATAATATTTCTTTTATTTATACGTTAGGATTCAAGTTTTATCTTTATAGTTAGATTTTGTAATCCTCTCGGTTATATCTATATCTTGTTATGTTAGTGAGTCAACTATCTTCTCTTTTTTACGGAAAAACCTTTATACCTTTCAGCATATAGAAGAACTTTATGTAGTGTGTATGAAAATAGAACCTCCGCAAAGACAATGGGATTGACGGGAGCTACATTTCTCGTCTCAGTTGTATGCGTTTTTATATATTTTGACTGCGTTCGATTTCAAACTGGAAGGTCAAATAGAAAAAGAACATCTGCAAAGAACAACTGATTATATTTTTTAAAGTAGTCAGTTGACGTTAATTTAAACCATTCACTTCTTTAAAAATTACACATTTAACATATTCGGACTCATTACTTTCATGAATCAAACACGGAAGCCAATCTAGAAACTGAATTGTCAGTAATTTGATACAGTGTATTTGAGTATTAAAAACCGAATAAAAACACATCGAATTACATGGTAATAGCTGTTAGTGCTTTTGGGCTATCGTACCAAGACTCTTTCAGTGCCAGGAAATATTCCGCAATTTTCCGTTTACTGCCAAGCTTGTTTTTACCGTCAGTGACGTTAACAAAAATGTCGTGTCATAAGATTTTGCGTAAAAAGGTTCGGTGATTGAACGGCAATTTTGAGAAGTCTTGTTTCCGTATGCGTAGAAGTAAATATTGTACTTTTTCGGTAATACTTTTTATAAATAATTTACAAAAATCTCCCGGGCATAGGTAGGTTTTGTTTTAATTTTGTATTTCTTTTTAAATAAATTATATGAAAAAGACATTTCAATATTCTGGTACTGTTCTTTGGAACAGTAAAAAAGATAGAAAAGATAGAACAGTTCAAACCAAGGTATCATAATTTCTTGTTTTTAGAACAAAAAAGCTAATTATCAGATTCATATACAACATGTAAAACCAACCAAATAATGATTATCATAGAAATTTATCTATAGTCTTAAAATCTATATATTTGTCTTGTACATCATTAAGAAAATATGTTCATGAAACATAACACTTATAATCTGTATGTTTTTCACCATAAAAATGATTTTTTTTTTGCATAGAAAGTTGTATTTATGTATATGTATATATTATATTATTATATTTTGAGTTATTCAGAGGGCATCAGGGGAGATTAGTATTGTACTGACTGTTTTTATCCTCTTTAAATAAAGTATTTATTATATTCTTATAATTATTATTATAGACGGTTCCACAGCATTCAAACAAACAGTACTTACTGATACAAAAAAAAACTTTTGGATAGCCAGGGAAAACGGAAGCATAGTTACACATTTTTTTTAAGATACCAGTACAGCGCCTAATTTAAATGTTAAAAAGTTAAGGAGAAAATATAATTTGAAACAAAAAGAGCAATACATGTAATTGAAAAAAAAAACAACATTGTAATTGAAAAGGGTTATACTGTGGGATAGTTTAATTCCCCCTCCCCCTTTTTCCCGCCTGCTTTTATGTTTTCCGAACAATTTACAAAAACATCTATTCTTTTAAGAAGAGATTTAAAACTATTTAAAAAATATGGCGAAATCAAAAACTATTATCTTCAAAACGTGCTGCAAAAAAATGTTTCCATAAAATTCTAATTGTGAAAAATAGAGAGCGGCGAAATCAGGAGAACTAAAAATCGTATTTGTTCACTCTGCCATCTTTATTTTAATTTTTACAGCAGATAGATTTTGCTGATTTTTTCAAGAGAGAATGTAGATGGATGCAATTTAGAAATTCGATTTCAAATACATATGTATCCGTTCGTATATTATATATAATTGGCAATGATTGCGTTTCAATTCTGGTAAACTTTACATTGATTCATTGAAAATCCGACATTTTCGTGCGATTGAAAAACCAAAAGATATAGTTTTTTGTATAGGTGCATGAAAAGAACACTTATCATTCTTACTTTTATATTCTAAAAGAAAACTTGGATTCACTGTCCTTCTTTTCGCGCTATTGGTGAAAAACGGAATTTTCCTATATACATTCAACAACATAAATAAAGCACCACCTCTTTCCATACATAGCAATTTCAATAAAAGTACTGAAGTACTGAACATTGGATGACCACAAGTTCTTGAGGATGGTCAAAAGCACTTGTCTCAGAAAAAAAACATATCTCTTTACCTGAAACTGGGGTTAATGTACAGAGATATATTTTTTTCTGAGACAAGTTCGTGCGTGGATGATGAATAAATGACAGTAAATTCAACTTCACCGTAATAACTATTATATTGTAGTGATACAAAATCAGTATACACTGATTTGTTGTTATATATTATATTAAAATAACAGTTACATATATATATATATATATGATTTGCATCCATTTGTATATCATTCTATGGTGGACACTTTTCTGTAAAAAATCGATTTTTCTAAGATTGGATACGAGTAGGCATTCATATTTTCCCGCAAAAACAATTACAGAGTTACCGGTCCTTGCCGGTATTATCGCAAAATGTTCTCTGGGATATTCTTCCGCATGCTTTAACACAATTTTTCGGTACGTGTGCATTGATATTATCAATGATTTTTTACTTATGTATATATATCTAACTACAAAACATTTTCATATTATTAATGTATGTTGTAAACAAAAATATTTTTATCAGAATTCATTGAAGAGATGTATTTATATCAAACGATAAGGAATGTTATTTTGCACTCGTTTATGTGCGCATATTAATCATTTTTATAGATCGGTTACAAACCCAAAACTAATTTACATAATGGAAATCTAGTCGATAGCAATACATCGGAATGACCTCAAGGTCATCGCGATGTACAAATATAATCTAAATTAATCCGCGGGTTTTGTGGCGACAATGGGGATTTCAACCCAAAATGTCAAAAATTAAAGTCCTAGGTAAGTCATTTTCAGATTGATTATTTCAGAAAAATTCGATCAAAATTTGAACATCAAACTCATTTTTCATTGTTTTTCGGTGAAAAGATACACGCGACTTTCGTTTTCAAAAATTTTGCAACATTTTTCATTTTTGTGTTAAAATATTTTTGTTTTTTGAGAAGTCAATAATAAAAATTCAAAAAATCTTCATTTACATAGAACTTAATTTTGATGACACCAGTAACATTGTGTAAAATTTTTGACTCATTTCAAGCATTTATAAAGCAGTCACATACAATTGAAACTATTTCAATGAAATTAATGGAGTAGGTGCGTTTCTTCTGTTGTTGAGTATATTTCAATATAAAAAAATCCCTAAATTATCTCCCCTCAAAAGGTTTGCTATTTGTGAAATTCTTTCAACTTTGATAATAAATTTAACTTAAAATACACATTATTTACTTTGTATTGAATATATTTTACTCGTTCGAATTATAATTTAATGTTCAAATTTGCAAGATTTTCGTACCCAGTGAAATAGGCTCGATCTACCTTGATTACCTCCAATTATGATCATGGAATATAATTACGTCACATTCTAATTATGATTTAACGTTTGACGTCATGAAAAAAAAAATGTTTGACGTCATATTGCTCGCAAATCAAATATGGCCGACTCCAGTGATTCTGAGCAGTTTTCTGACGGAGTGGCAGTGATTTTGAAGTTTTAAGCGGAAGCTCAGAATCGGAAGATGAAATAATGAAGTTCCTATGAATGCCAATCCTTGGTTCCGAGTTAGACCTCCGGAGATTGACTACATGCACGACCAAGGATTTGTATAGATCATGCACTGTATGGTTATCAATGCATATATCTTATACCAACAAAATACATCGGTTAACCCTAAATTGTCAAGATAAGCTTTCACGTAAAAGCTTAATGAGGACGAAAACCAAGGCAATAGATAAAATAAAGATAAAAACGGAATCAGGAAGTTGCCCGGTCATCGAGAGAAAGATTGTGATGTATGTTCAGACAGGAATGGTCACCGGGCTCGTAGGAGGAGTAGGACAGTGTGTCGAGTATGCAGTAAGGGGGTGCACCGGGATTGTAAAGATAATCATTTGTGCGTTGATACTTAATTAAGAATATATTCTTTGTTTCTTATAAAAATATGTTTTTATTGTAATACAAGGTTTTGTTTTAAATTGGAGACGTGAGAACATAAGACAACCCACTACACTTACATGAATAAATGATTGATAATGCATCAAATCCCCACCCCCTCCCATTAAGATGGCTCTGTAGGATCACAAGCACTTTAAATTACTCACCTTAACTTGTCCCTGGTTGGTATTTTTTCGGTCATTCTGGCATTTGAATTCGCTTTTCGAACGTTTTAGGCTTGCATTTTAGTAATTCAATAATTTTGATCCGCAGCACTACTGAAGATTCATTATTTGATGAAACGTGCACGTACAGAGCAGTCAAAATTAGTTTCAGAAATTGCACATTTCGACTGCTCTCATTAATTATTGAAACTTCTCCATTTCTGTAATATGAATATGATAATAAATGAAAACAATACTTGATTGCATGCGTCCGAAGCGCTTTTCTGTATTTACCTACAACCGGAACGATCAGAGCTGAATATTTGAAAGCCAAGGATGTATAAGAACCGAAACAATTGAAGAGAAATATGACCAAAAGGGATATAAACCAAAGCATCGTTGATGTTGTGATCCAGCCATATTTATAGCTAGTCTGATATTCTTTCTGACCATACTTTTTTCAATATTTTTTTCTCTTTTCATTTCCAATCTTACTGTAAAATTTCTATGTTATTGTCCAAAGGTAGGGAATTTCCCAATATTAATGCAAATATTGATATATATATATATAGATATTTCAATTTTAGAATCTGTCAGATTTTTTTTTACAAGAATGGAAAGGGAAATCTTCAAATAAGTTATATATTTTTTTATATGCCATTAATAATAACTGGCTTAATAATTTAAAGAAAGAGGCCTTAGAAATACACTTTCTCAACAACAATAAAATGCTCCGCTGGGCGCAGCTTGATACGACCGCAGAGGTCGAACCCTGAACAGTTGGGGCAAGTATGGACACAACATTCAAGCTTGATACAGTACTGAATTTGGATTGTGATTAAATATTTGACACAGCATAGGTTTCTGACACAGAATGAATGTGGTCTAAGAACTTAAAAAATTTTAATTTACCTATTCAAACCATATCATTATTATTTGCTTTTATATATAAATCAGAAATAACCAATTTAAAATGGAAAATTTTAAAGAAAAAAAAAAGGAAAAAAAGGAAAAAAAATCTTCCTCCCCCCCCCCCCCAAATTTTTTGAACCCACTTATGATTCATCACCCCCAAACTCAATCCCAGCCTTCCCTTTGTGGTATGGTACCTTGCAGTACAATTTCAGAGAGATCCATACACTTGAACACAAGTTATTGTCTGGAAACTAGAAAAATGCTTGTTTTTTGGCCCCAAATTCCTAAACGTTTAAAGCAATTACCCCCAAACTCAAACCCAGCTTTCCCTTTGTGACATGGAACCTTGTAGTACAATTTCATAAAGATCCATACACTTACACACAAGTTATTGTCCTGAAACTAGAAAAATGCTTGTTTTTTGCCCCTGTTTTGCCCCTAATTCCTAAAATTTTGAGGCAATAACCCCCAAAATTAATCCCAGCCTTCCCTTTGTGGTATGGTATCTTGTAGTACAATTTCAGAGAGATCCATACACTTGAACACAAGTTATTGTCTGGAAACTAGAAAAATGCTTATTTTTGGCCACTTTTTGGCCCCTTATTCCTAAACGTTTTGGGCAATTACCCCCAAACTCAATTCCAGCTTTTCCTTTGTGATATGGAACCTTGTAGTACAATTTCAGAAAGATCCATACACTTACACACAAGTTATTGTCCAGAAACTAGAAAAATGCTTGTTTTTTGTCCCTTTTTTGTCCCCTAATTCCTAAAATGTTGAGGCAATTACCCCCAAAATCAATCCCAGCATTCCCTTTGTGATATGGAACCTTCTGGTACAATGTCAGAGAGATCCATACACTAACACACAAGTTATGTCTGGAAGTTACAAAAATGCTTATTTTTGGC